GTGTATGTGGGTGTGTTTTGTGCGTGTGTGTTGTGTGCGTGTGTGTTGTGTGTGTGTTGTGTGTGTGTGTTGTGTGTGTATGTGGGTGTGTTGTGTGTGTGTTGTGTGTGTATGTGGGTGCGTTGTGTGTGTATGTGTGTGGCCTTCGCAGCTCGGCCGTTGCTAGGCAGCAAAGGTCCTTCAGTTGCTGCTAATTAGAGGTTCCGCTCTTGACGGTTGCTCTCTGTCATCATCATCATCATCATCATCATCTGATGGGAACGAGAGCCTCCCTCACAGCTCGGTCAGTGACGGCTGATGTGACCAGTGCTCCGGGTGGTGGGAATTCTCTCTCCTTCAGTGTCAAACAGTGAACAAACATCCCAACACTTTAATTGAGTTGTGTGAGAGCTCTTACCTCACTGTCATCTCTTACTCCCCCCAGCCAGCCCTCTGCTCACCACTCCACACTCTCTATCACACACACACACTCACTCAAACACACGCTCACACACGCTCACTCACACACACACACACACACACTCACACACACGCTCACACACACTCACTCACACACACACACACACACACTCACTCAAACACACGCTCACACACACTCATACGCTCACTCACACACACTCACTCACTCAAACACACGCTCACACACACTCACACGCTCACTCACACACACACACACACACACACTCACTCAAACACACGCTCACACACACTCACTCACACACACACACTCACTCACTCAAACACACGCTCACACACGCTCACTCACACACACACACACACTCACTCAAACACACGCTCACCACACACACTCACACGCTCACTCACACACACACACACTCACACGCTCACTCACACACACACACACACTCACTCAAACACACGCTCACACACACTCACACGCTCACTCACACACACACACACACACTCACTCAAACACACGCTCACACACACTCACACGCTCACTCACACACACACACACACACACTCACTCAAACACACGCTCACACACACTCACTCACACACACACACTCACTCACTCAAACACACGCTCACACACGCTCACTCACACACACACACACACTCACTCAAACACACGCTCACCACACACACTCACACGCTCACTCACACACACACACACTCACACGCTCACTCACACACACACACACACTCACTCAAACACACGCTCACACACACTCACACGACTCACTCACACACACACACACACACTCACTCAAACACACGCTCACACACACTCACACGCTCACTCACACACACACACACACAATCACTCAAACACACGCTCACACACACTCACACGCTCACTCACACACAGGTAGCAGAGAGCCTTCGTAAACCATGCCCCTAACGTCTGAAATTCCCTCCCTCTGCCTCTCTACCTCACCCGTCTGGGTCTCTATGTGTCTTTAAATCCCGCCTAAAAGACAACATCTTCAACCCAGCTGTGATCACCTTCCACACGCCTCTGTTTTCCTAGAGAAAATAGGAACCTGCTTGTTAGTCAATTGTCAGATCGCTTTCCGGTAATAATCCCTCCCCCCAAAAATGTGGTCACTCAACCCACGACTGTTTGTGGGGACGCTGCTGTGTGCAATTGGCTGCCGTGTTTCGCCCACAACATACACGGTTAATCCACTTAACAGTATATTCTGTGAAGCACTTTGTGACGTCTCGAAGACGCGATAAGTCGGCATATCAAATGCAACGATTATTGTTATTATTATTTATTATTATTGTCTGCCCCTAGCCATCTGTTTGAAGGTGAGCTGTGTCTCTGTAGGGTTCAAGGACACACGGGTTGAAATAGATGTGTCACCAGGCAGCGTTTGCTGGCCGACACAATAAATCAATCTGATAAATGCTCGCCCAAAGAGGCAGTTCCCAGGAGGACAACAGTTGCCGACTGCACTAAATGAACTCAGGCAGCAAGAGATTAAATATAATGTTGGCATTTGGGAGGCTATGAAGATCCATTGGCTGTCATGGACTGTGTGACTCATTCCAACATCAATGCTCGTGGAGGCAGTCACTGTGGTCGATTCCTTCCAACCTACTCTCTGACCGTTCCCTACCTATTGGCTTTAATGCTTCTCATAGTGATACTTTATCCCCACGGCTGCTCATTGAGCCAGTGCTCTGAGATCAATGTTCGGCTACAAAACACACAGTCGCTACACTTTACAGTGACATCCTGTGAAGCGCTTCGAAACGTCCCTCCCGAGGTGGGGTGTGGGGGGTGGGGGTTGGCGGTGAGGGGGAAGATGTCGGATCAAAGAATTGTTATTTTTTTTAATCGGGGAGTAATAGTTCTGACAGTCAGAAAGTAAGTAACTGTTACGATTTCCATGGGGTAGAGAAGAACAATCAATCTGGACGCGAGGGACATTTCCTATTCTCGGCCCTCAGCCAATCTGCTACTCCATTCAGCGGGAAGATCGTTATCCAGAATCTATAAACTCATCAGCAACCCTTCAGGAGTCTTTTTGATGCATTTATGGAATCTGCAGCCCTCGGTATTAAGGGAGTGCATCATTCAACTTAAAAGCCCGTTGCAAGAAAAGTCATGATATGTTACAGGAGGAAAAACATTCCTTCATTACACCGAGGTCTTCAGTCTGAATGGACTTCTTCAGTACAGCCACTGCTTCCTGGTGGTGATGCTTGTGACTGCAGATTCTGTGGAGGGCTTTGAGATGTCTCAACGACGTGATAAGGCGCCATATTAACTGCAAGGATTATTATTATTATTATAGTCCACCAGGGCTACCCTCCCCACCCCCCACCCCTGGTCACACAGGGGTTTGTGACCTCCTTGGGCTGCAGTAAACTGACAAGTGCTTCCCACTTGCAATGCTTTATAGCCGTAGTTTAATCCCAACAATTTATTCCAATCGAGTAGCAACTTGAGGAAAAAGACCCAGAGGCTTTGCCTTCATGTAAAAGCTTAAATCCACCGATCTCCCCTGACGTGTTTATTCTGCATTGGGGTATGTCTTCAACCTTTATTTTCCCTTCACAATGTCTACGCTTTAAATGTGGGGATGAAGTCATGTGTTAATGTCTGCCAGGGAGCCTCCTGCAGGACTGCTTTACCTGCTACGCTGTGAGTAATTGAGGCTAACGCAGAAACACAGACTGGCATCAAGCCAACGACTGCATTACTGCACCAACTACTGCCAACCCACTCCCAGCATTGCTCTCCTTCCCGTCTGTTGCGCTACTAACTCACTATGTGCTTGTAATCAATAGTCTATTGGTGTTAAATAATCCTTCACATCTCATCCAAAGGACAGTATCTCCCAACAAGGTAGCTGCCCCCATTGTCAGTATGACTTCAGTATGAAATCCCAACTTGGAGCTTGAACACACAACCTTCAGACTGAGAGGTGAGAGTGCTACCAACTGAGCCAGGCTGACACACCATCTTACTGGCTCAGAGTCCAAGTCATCCTTGTAGATGTTCTCTCCAGCACTCACCACTGTCCTTTTTAAGCCAGGCTGCCAAACCCTACACACAGTATTCCAAATGAGGGTCTATCAGTCACCTATCAATGTTAGAACAACGGCTCTCAACTTCTGCTCAAACGCTATCAAGATGTCTTGTAGCATTTGATTAACCTTTATCGATGTTGTGTCTGAAAACCTTCAGTGAAAAATCAATAATCTCGGCCAATGCAGTCTCACCACTGCCCTCTCGGCCCAGCCGTGTTTCATATGAAATTATATAGCTGGTCATTCACGACATGGCTGCTTCGTGAGATATTGCTCTGCGGGAATTAGCTGCTGGGTTCGCCTACAAAATACGCAGTCATGCTTTACAGTAAAGGCTATGAAGTGCTTTTGAGACAACCTCCTGATATGAAAGGTGCAATACCAAACATGAGGATTGTTACATCACTTACAGTTTGCTTTGATAAGATTGTGTTTGTATAATTCAGGTTCATGCCGGACAGTGTTTCCATTCATTACCTGAGTCCTTCAACCCTTCAGAGCTATTTAAAGTTTACTTGGGTGGGCCACGGTTGAAAACCCTCTGTTGCTATATCACTCACTCTACTGTTGTAAACAAAAGGAGTTTGCATGTACACACAGTGCCCTTCACGCAGGGCAGTATCTCGGAGCGCTTAACAGTGTTGGAGCCTGACGCCGAGCCGGGGGGAGGGAGGGAGGAGGTGATCGTAAGCACAGTTGAAGAGGAAGTGTCTTCAGTCGTGATCTAAAAGAAGGGAAGGAGGGGGCGAGACGGAGGGAATGGGGGAGAGAGTTCCACAGCTCCAAAGCTTCAAGGCCCAGTGGCTGAAAACCAAGTGAGTGTGCGAATATCTGTATAACTACATCTGCTGCAAATAGATAGAAGCAAAATGACTTTTGTTCCTGCTACAAGGTCTTATTGATTTTTAACATTAGGTGTTACGGTCTTGCAATATGCTGATGTACTGAGAGATATGAAAGCCGTGGAAATCCAATTAGTGTTTCCCCACAAGCGTGGCAATTGTAGATCAAGGCGATGATTAAAGCTGAGATGAAGGCAGACAGTGGTTTGATAAAGACCTGCTTGTCACCTGCCACTGAATCTGTTACGTGTCTCTACCTCCCAGTGGGTCTGTGTTTCAGGACACTGTGTGTGTCTGTACTTGTTTCTGTACGTCTTTCTGTTCTCCTTGTATATCAGTGGACTTGTGTGTATCTGTCCCTCTGTCTCCTGACTGACAATCCTCCAAATAAATTGGCCCGTTGACTTAGTGGCTGCTTGGGGTACTTTTTCAGTTGTCTGCTGTCACGACACTTGACAGCATCGCCTGTGTAGCTCTTCGATACATTTCAACATTAAAGGAGTTTCATCAAATGGAAGATTTATAATCATTATCCTTGCTGTTAGCATTATGAGAAGGTGCAGACTGGTTAGATAATAAACCATGGCTGAAAGAGCTCTCTCTCTCTTTGTCTCCCTCTGTCTCTCTCTCTCTGTCTGTGTCTCTCAGAACTAGACACTTTGTCCCATTTGGTGAGGAAGGCTGAGGATGGGCACTGTGGGGGGAGACGGCTTGCGGAGCGGAACTCCAGGCCACACCCCCGAGGGCAACGTGGTCATGAACTTCAGCTTCGATGGCTACCCACTGGAGGAAGAGGAGTCACTGGCCAGGGAGCGGCAGAGACAGAGACAGAGCCAGAGGGAGGGCAGTGGCATGTCCATCCTCAGTGACCCAGGTGACATCTGTACACGTGTGCGCACGCATGTTTAAGTGCGGAAGAGCGTGAGCATTTCTTTGTGCGCGCTTGTGTGTGCGCACGTGTGCTTGTGTGTGCATGTGCGTCTGTGCGCACCCACATGTGTATATGTGTGCGCACGTGTCTGTGTGTGTGTGCATATGTGTGCTTGTGTGTGTGCATGCGTGTATGCTCCTGGCCTTTACCAAATTTGACAGTGGTTGGGAGGTGGAGGGGCACATTTACTATCAACTCTCGGGTGCTGGGACTATCAAACCTCTGTATTAAGGGGCATCAGGAGCCACGAGGAAGGCTTTCCATGTGACTCAACCTCTGGTTTTGGCTTCTCCCAGTCACACAGCTCCTGCTCTGCAGTCGTTGCCATGTATTAAGTCGACCTGTGGATCAATAGGGTCAAACACTCGCTACCTCTTGCCGCTCTGCTGTAGCCAGGAGTTGACCGAGTTTCGTGCCTCCTGCCCTGAGCTGGGGTCTGATGTTGATGCTGTATCTCTGTTGTCTTTACGATGCAGACAATGAGCCTGAGCCTAAGGACAGCTACCATGGGATCTACTTTGCCATGTTGCTGGCTGGAGTTGGCTTCCTGCTCCCGTACAATAGCTTCATCACAGACGTGGACTATCTCCACCATAAATATCCAGGTACGAAGAGACGGTCCTTCCCTGGACATATTTACGTCAACAAACCTCTGTTCCATTATGTAAAACCTGTTGAATCCTAAAGGAGGCGCCGTTGTCAATGAAACACATGTGTTCTGTAAAGCAGGGGAGGTCCAACCTTTTGGCTGCTGAGGGATGACCTATTTGAGAGCAATATTGTTGTTTTTCTTCTTCTTTCCGGAAAGGGGGGGGGGGGGGGAGGGTAGATGAAATGGGGGGGTTGGGGTGTGGATGTGGCCAGTGGCCAATGGCCCGCCAGTTGAACCGCCCTGGTTCCTCATCACTGTCTGTTCCCCCCTCCGACTGCCAACTGAGTCAACTGAGCCCGGCTGAAACCTGGATTTACTGTTGAGCATAAACAACTGTGTATTTTGTGACGTTTCTCCCAACTATTTGGTGTATGTTTTGTAGATGTTTTGAGAGTTATCGCACCTGCTTCTCTGTGTGTTTCTCCTGGTTCTCTGTTGAACCCGGCACAGCCTGATGGCCAGGTGCCAATCGGATCGGAATTGTTCTTCAGTTTCAGGCGACAGGAACAACGTTGGGGACACAATGAACCATCTGCTGCATGATTATATTCTCCTCTGTCTGAGGAGAAACATAGATGAAAGCTTTCACAAGCCCCTTGTTTTTACTCTGTTGTAGGTACATCTATTGTGTTTGACATAAGTCTCACGTACATCCTTGTGGCTCTGGTTGCCGTCATATTAAACAACGCATTGATTGAGCTGCTCAGTCTACACACCCGGATCTCTGTTGGTGAGTGGGGAAGATTGAATGGGCTCCATGGTTACAAAAGGACAGAGTAAACTGTTATGGAATGGACAGAAAGCATTGTATTTCACAATTATGGTATAAGTAAATCAAACGATAGTACAAGAGGTAATAGTATAACGGTCACAGCACAGAAGATGTAGTGTATAGGTTATAATCTAGAGTTTATGGTATATGGATTTTTCTATGGAGGTTATAATGGAATAGTTATTGTATAGAAGTTATAATTGATAGTAATAATAATAATCCTTGCATTTGATACAGCGCCGTATCAAGTCTTCGAGATGTCTCAAAGCGCTTCACAGGATATAGTGTAAAGTGAACTGACCATATATTTTGAGGGCAAAACGTATAATTAGACTCATTAACCATTTCCATGGATGTACTGACCGGCCAAAGCTTTGCTGGGATGGGATGGGCTGTGACGAGGGTGGACCAGGAGTGGGATGGTCAGGGTTTGGCTGACTCGGGACTGAGTGGATTCCCCTTGTCTCGGTGACAGGTTACCTGTTTGCTTTGGGGCCTCTTCTCTTTGTGAGCGTGTGTGACGTGTGGCTGGAGCTCTTCACAAAGCCTCAGGCCTATGCCATTAACCTGGTCGCTGTGGCCATCGTGGCCTTCGGCTGTACAGGTAAGTCTCCATCCTGTGTCGGGTGTCATTCCTTCACTGGCTGTCTCCTGGCCCTGCTTCAAACTGATTAGACTTGTCCCTTCCTCCCCATCTATCCCATGTACGGATTGGCTGGGAAACACAGGCCATTTACAATAATCCTATCTCTTGTGTAACTCAGTTCAGCAATCCAGTTTCTACGGCTACACGGGGATGCTACCCAAACGCTACACCCAGGGAGTGATGACCGGTGAAAGTGAGTATTCTTCCCACTCATTGAAGCAATTCAAAGCTGTTGCAAATTGCCTGCTGCGTTCGACTACAACACACACAGTCACTACGCTTGACAGTCTGTCCTGCGAGGCGCTTTGGGACGTCTCGACAACCTGGTCAGTAAGCCACTACGCCAGATGCGACAACTCTAATGTAATTGCAAGTGAATGATCCTAAATAATAATCCTCGCATGCGATACAGAGCTGTTCACATCGGGAGGACGTCTCAACGTGCTTGAGGCCGTGGTGTGTTTTGTGGGCAAACTGCTTGTGCGTTAGCAGCGGTGAGAGATCTTTCCCCTCTGTTCCAGGTACTGCTGGTGTCATCATCTCCCTCAGCAGAATCTTAACCAAACTCCTGCTCCCCGACGAGAAGAAGAACACCATCATCTTCCTCTTCATCTCCATCGGCATCGAGACCATGTGCTTCGTGCTCCACCCACTGGCCAAGAGAACCCGCTTCGTGCGTTACCACACGGCTCAGATGTCCGGGGAGAGCGACCGGCAGAAGCAGAAATATCACGTACACCAGGGCCCAGGCTATCGGGTCCATCACAATGTCAACGCAGAGGAAGTAAGATTTGTAAGTTTTTTATTCCACTTTGTAGCATTGAAACCGTCGACAGTCGAACACTGGATCTGACGGGAAACTTCCCCCCCCACACAAACATGAAGATTCATTTATAATAAATTCATCTAAGTTCTTCCCCCATTTACTTCCCCTCCCCCTCTCCCCACATCCCCCAGCCCCATTCCATCATAGCCAAAGAGCGGAGCATGAAAAGATTATCGGGAGGGTGGGAATGGGAGCGGGGAATGGGAAGGAGTGATGGTCCTCGATGGTCCTCTGGCCAATTTCCACTCTACATCCCTGCGTTGTAAGGACCCGGAGCCACTCGGGAGCTAATTGGATCTTGTTTTTTGGGAATGACAGTCGTGTTTCTGGCCATTATTCCCCAAGGAGAATGGAACGGTGGAGAGTCCTTCCTCCGAGTTTCGTGGGATGGAGCAGGAAGCCCCAGCTTCCGCAGAGTACGTCAGGTTCGACGTGTCCAAGACCCAGCTCAAGAGGAACTGGCCCAGCTTCAGAGGTGATTATTATTATTAATATATTATAGCGTTTGATCCTCTTTGCTTCCCTCTGTGTTGTGTGTGTGGCTGATACCAGTATCTACTGTCTTCATTCCTTCCCCAAGTTCCAAGAGCCTCCAAGCTGCTAGTGCTAGCAGTTGGGACGTCCTCCTGACGTGAAAGGTGCTATACAAATGTAATCTTGTTGTTGTTGTTGCTTGGGTTGAGTTCATGCCCATGTACATTGATGTTCCATCCAGTTAGTGTTTGGGTTTTCAGAAAGCATTTAGTGAAGGTTTACTTGCAAGGCCTCACGTGAAAGTCTGGGTGTGTTGATTGAGCTGTCGCAGCTTATCAAAGGAAACGAGGAGCGAGTGGGAAAGTATGGGGTTGGTTTGGGCTCAGTGGAGGCAGAGATTTCCGTGTCGCGACCCGACAACCATCGTCTCTATCTTGTCTTCTTTTGCAGAACTGATTTTGCACCGGTACATAGTGTCCCGTGTTATCTGGGCCTACATGCTTTCCATAGCTATTACCTATTTCATCACCCTGTGCCTGTTTCCTGGGCTGGAGTCTGAGATTCGGAACTGCACCTTGGGGGAGTGGCTGCCCATCCTAATCATGGCCATTTTTAACCTCTCGGATTTTGTGGGGAAGGTAAGACCTTGTAACTCTTAGCACTTGCTACACCTTCCTCCCAATCGCGTGGCATTACCACAATAGTGTGTGTCAGTCTGGCTCTCGCCTCTGGGTGAGAAGTTTGTGGGTTCGAGCTAAGTTTAGTCTGACACTCCAGTGCAGTGCTGGGGAAATGTTGGATTGTCAGAGGTTCCGTCATTTAAACCGAAGTCCCATCTGCCTGTTCAGGTGGATGTTAAAGATCCTGTGGCATTATTCCAAAAGAGAAGGGAGTTTCTCTCTTCTCGTATCCTGGCCAACAAGTCAGCTTCCAGATAAAATTGATCATTCACTTCATCTCTGTTTGTGAGATATGCTGGCGCGTGCCTTGGTTTACCAGAAATTAAAAAGAGAACTTGTATTTTTATAGCACCTTATCGTGTTGAAAGGTTTCCAAATGCTTCATTAAGGGGAGTGAGACTGACTGACAGATCCAATGACTGTGTATCGTGGAGCGAGCTGGCACTGACAATGGGGAGCTGCAATATTGGCTCTCGGTTCCCAGGGAAACATAGTTATAAAAATTAAAATGTTTATTGTTAAACTTCTGTTCTTCAGCAAGCGCTGTTCCCGTTGTGTTTCAGATCCTGGCAGCTTTGCCTTATGACTGGAATGGCGTGCGTCTCCTCATGTTCTCCTGCGCCCGGGTGGTCTTCATACCCCTCTTCCTACTGTGTGTGCTCCCAAGCGACAGACCCGTCTTCAGCCACCCTGCCTGGCCCTGCGTCTTCTCCCTGCTCATGGGAATCAGCAATGGCTACTTTGGGAGTGTGCCGATGATCCTAGCAGCCGGGAAAGTCAGTCCAGAGCAGAGAGAGCTAGCGGGTGAGCACCAGAGGTTTCCCTTTCTCTCTATACTGTGTCGGGGTATAAAGTTTCCCTTTCTCTAGACTCTGCTATTAAGAGGAGGATATTCCTTCCATTTGGCTTCCTGGTCAACTCAGCACAAAGGCTCGATCAGCGTATGATTGTTGGCTCTACGCTAGCCGTGTGCAATGCATGAAGAACGTACGTGTCTACAGAGCTTTAAGGAGCAGGTCATAAACATTGCAAAGCACTCAGCGGGTAATTCCTCTCAAACGTTACCGACTGTTGGCGAAACTGTACAATTCCTAAACCAAACCCATCCTCTGTGTCAGGAACGGAGAAGGTTGTCTACGCGGCCACCACCCTGTCCCCTTGGCTTGGCGTCAGACTGCCACTCTCAATGGCTCCGGGACATTCCCCCGCGTGAAGGGCGCGATATAAACCTGTCTCTTGCTTTATTCCAGGTAATACCATGACCGTGTCCTACATGTCAGGACTGACTATGGGCACAGCAGTGGCTTATTTCACGTACAGCCTGACCAGTACGTCTCACACTTCATGCATTTACACTGAAACAGTCAACGCTTCGGTCACCACAGGATTCTAAACCAAGGCTCTCCACATTCTCACTAGGGGTGAGCAAACCTCCAGCATTTCACTGCAATTGGGCCCATCTGGCTTGGAATAAAGCTTCAAAAGTGTTTCACCCAAATTGATACCAGGAGTGTTGACTAGGAGGGAAGGCTGTTGTCATCTTACCTCCTCCGCGTGTCTGTGCAAAGGAGCCGGGAAGTGGTGTTATTTCCCTGGGAATGTTTCCAGAAGAGTAACTGATTGGGTTTGATGCACACAATTGATCAAAGCTACAAAATGATCGTTCATACATCACCTTACAAAAATTTAAGTGGTCGATCGGTACCTCAGAATAATGGGGAATAAATTCAAGATTCTCGGTAGCGCAAAGGGGGAAATTTCTTTTTTGTAACAGCCTCATTCCGATATGAATATCATTACCGACAGTGGACATTATAATAGTAATAATAATTCTTTCATTTGATATAGCGCCTTATTACATTGTCAAGACATCTCAAAGTGCTTCACAGGATACCCTGTAAAGTGAATTGACTGTATTACTATGTCCCCACAGGTGAGGTTTGCACGTGGGGGAAAATATGTGATATTTCACAACTTGTTCCAGTGATAATTATCACAAGGAGTGACTCAAATTTCACTCTGTAAATTAGGAAATGCCTCGTGTACAGGGACATGCCTTTGCTTGGAATATCCTGACATCACCTTGTCACTCCGTTTAACATCACCTTCCACTCCATGAGATCATTGACGATTGGGTTTCTGAGATAGTGGTCAACAATATAATGTGTGTGAGTATTCTCGTGTGTGTGATTGACATTCTATAAAGGTACTCTTTCCCTTCTGTTTCTCTCTCTCTCTCTGGCAGGATGAATGGAGAGATGTACTTTAAGGGCAGTGTATACATGTCATCCCATGGAAACCTAGCTCAGCATATCTCAGATACATCCCCAACCTGTCTGGCTCTTTATGTTCCTGTCTCACCGCGTCCCACCCACCAGGCCAGACGTGGGAGTAGGACCAGCTACTTGGACAAGTGTGGCTTTGTGGGAATTTCAAGTGGACGTGTTACTCACCAGCATTTGTGCAAAGGCTTCTCTCTCTGACTATCAGCCTCTGGATTCTAGCTGAGAGTGCATATTGCCTACTCATTGCCATCTTGTCTGCCAACCATTCTGGAGTTGCCTTTTCCAGTTTGACAAGAGATGTGTGTGTGTGTCTGTGTATCTATGTGTGTGTGTGTATGTGTGTCTGTCAGTGTGTGTGGTGTGTGTGTGTGAAGGGAGAGGAATGGGATCTCAGATGTTGGGAGTCAGGAATACTCTTTGTTGTTCATCACAGTGATGAGGAACAAGATGTTGGCTGCCAGGGGAGGGTAGATGATGCTCTCCCACTGCACTAACACAACTTATGTAACGTTTGATGAAACCCGACCCCACCTTGGCATAAACAGCTAGTGCGCACCTTTCAAGTTTCCAGTGACCCCACCCCCCTCCCTCTCCCCCATGGTGTACATTAGCAAATGTGCACTGGGGTAACAAGCAAAGCCTTTGCACTTTCACAGAGTCGAATTGAACCCAGTTTATTCCCTGACGTGTTATACACATAAACCCAAACTCCTAGTGAACCTATAGAGTGAAAAAAATTCCAATGCCACCCTCCCACCTCCCACCCAGAAAAAAAGGTGCTGATGGAGACAGTGATGTTAATGTTTTTGGTGAATGAATTGGGACTTTTCATTTGCATTTACATACAACGTCAAGCGTAGAAATCTGTGTCGTCTCTGTCAGCTTCAGGTGAACGTACACCTGAGGGTAGAGTGTGGCTGTGTGTGACTTTCGTTTTCTCCTTTCCTGCCTCCAAACCAGGGCTTTAGAAAGTGTCGGACCCTCTTCCTGTTTCTCAGTGATTTCACTATCTTCACTCTGCGATTCCCCCTCTGTATTCTGCCTGGCCTGTCCCACCCCACCATCACCAGTCAGGCCGACAGCCTCTCTGCCCCCATCCTTTGGAGCTCCATCTCACAGTCTCTTCGCTCTCCTGCACCCCTCTCCCTTGACTCCTTCAAGGCACGTCTCAAGACCTTCCTCTTCAACTACACTTCCTGCTGCCTTCCTACCCCTACCCTTTCTGCCCGCCACCCTTCCTGATTCCAACCCCCAACTCGGGTCCAAATCCCTGACTGTGCAGCGCTTTGGGATGTCCTCCCAATGTGTGAGGCGCTGTGTAAATATAATTTGTTGTTGTTGTCGCTCACTCCCCCCCACCCATTCTTACCCATGCAATTACCTCCTTTCAGTTCTCAACACAAGAGAAGAAAAAGCCACTTAGACCCATTTAATCTCGCCCTGTTAGAACACCCTGTCCCTACAGCTAAATAAGTACTTCCTGATGTCTGCCCTAAAACTACCTTTCACAATCCTGAACCTGCCACCTCTTGTTTTGTTGTCTTAGTGTGCATTAAAGGACTGAGTCCCTGTATGTAGAGCTCGCTGGAAGTTTCAGCCTGAGAGTAAAAGAGAGACAGGGGCCAATATTGAAACAGCAATCGCCAAATTGGAACCAATTCCTCACCGTGACCCATGGCCACAACATTCTTGTGTCCAGCTTGTCACAAGGGTTGTCAGAATTCATCCAGGCTTCAACATAAGATTGTGACTGTTCCCAGGGATAATGTGTAGGATTAGATGTTCTCGATTAATAGCCAGTCAAGATCGAGGTCTATATCACCTGAGCTCAATAACCGCACATTTCCACCTGCCTTTTTGTTTAATCGCAACCACACTTAACCAACCGGTCACCACTGCATTCCGACTGATTCCTGTATGTTTGGTGTGTGTGTGTGTGTTGTCACGGCAACCACTGCCGTACATTTTTGTGCCAAAGGACTCTAAAGCGGTTGCTGTTAGTCTAAGAAATAAAAAGGATCATTCCTACAGGAGACAGCTGTAGAGGGTCCTTACTTGATTTGACGTCCACTCTATCTCCAATCATTTCCTTGTACAAGTTAGTGAAAGGGGTTTTGCCAAGTGTTTGAAATAATTAATTTAAAAGAAGCAATTCTCTTGCAATCATCAGTGAACTTTACGGATCTTGTGTATCTTTTTTTTAAATTCTACACTGAATGTGGATGAAAAATTTCCCCAGGAAACAGGATAACGTTGATGTTTCATTGTAATTTGTGTGTCAGCCTGGTTCAGTTTGTAGTCAGAAGGTTGGGGGTTCAAGCACCATGTTAGGATTTGGGACTCATATAGTCTAAGATGACACTCCGGTGCAGTGATGGGGATGTGCTGCATTGTTGGAGATGCCAAATTTAGGATAAGATATTAAACTGAGGTTCCCATCTGCCTGTTGGGATGGACGTTGAAGATTCCAATGGCACTATTACAAAAGAGAAGGGAATTTTTCCTGTTTCATTCCAACAATCCATCAGATAACCTTGCTCATTCATTTATAATATATATATATATATAAAAATTCTTGCATTTGATATAAAGCCTCGTCACGTTGTTGAGACATCTTGGGTTTGACTACATTTTATGGGCCAAATGGCTATGTGTGGGACATTTCTGTGCGCAAATTGTTTACCTACAAAATAGACAGTTATTGCGCTTTGTAGAATCTCCCGTGAAGCGATTCGAGACATCCTTCTGGCGTGAAAGGCGTAAGAATCGTCATAATTTCTGAGGCAAAATGTGCAGATCCATCCAGTTGCTCACTGCGTATCTACACCCAGTCACCAGGTGTCGCTGTCACACCGCGAATGTCCAACAGCAACATCCAGTGATGTGAATCCACAACTACGAAAAGCAAATTGTAAGAGGATCTCTGAGGGTACTTAAGAGGAATATTTATTATTCAATTACAGTGGGATCTAGTTCTTGGCGAGGGAATGTTTAATCCAGAGGTTTATTCCATCCCGAGTTTTTTGTTCATTGAGACATAGGAACAGGAGGAGCCCATTCAGCCCCTCGAGCCTGTTCTGCCATTCTATAAGATCATGGCTGATCTGTACCTCAACACCTGCCCTTGTCCCATTATCCCTTAATACACTGACCTAACAAATATCTATTCACCTCAGTTCTTGGAAAATGTGAATGGATCCACAGCCTTTTGGGGGAGAGAGAGAGAAAGAGTTCCAGATTTCCACTATCCTTTGGGTGAAAAACTGCTCCTGATTTCATATCCAGGCATCGGTGTCAGATGGTGCAATAAGTGAAGAGAAAGCGAATCACATCAGTGAAATTATTTGACAACTTGCACTGATGGTTTTGGTGCAGCCTATAGCGTACAGAGGATTGGAGTATTGTGTGGCACAGCGGACTTGGCCACTGCTGTGATCCATTGTTCAAACCTGTGTTAGCTGCGATGATTGATCAGCGCTAATTGTTTTAATAACTATTTGCCATTCCTTGACATTTATTCATGTCTCTTCGGTCTGTTGCCATAGCAACTGCTGCATGTACATTTTCTGTGTGTGTGTGTGTGTGTGCCCCAAAAGACTTCAATCGGTCGCGCTTAATCTTAAGAAATAAAAAGAAATGACAATTACCATGGGAGACAGCTGTACTCACCTGACGTTTGCTCTTATCTGTAATCATTTCCTTAATCAATAGCAGAGCTGCACCTTATAGTAGAGCTTGATTATTGCCCTCTCTCTCCAGGGCACTGTACTCAATGCTATACAAATAATATATTAACTAATTAACCACAGCTGGAAGTTTTATTCCATCTTCACCGAGTAATTTTTAAAAAATTGATTATACAGCAAACTCCTGATAACTCGACTCTGGCTTACTTTGTCACTAACACTTGTCATCATGCTGTCAATATCCCAGCTGCATTGATTCACGTATTTATACATATGTCTAACTCACCGCTCTGGATAACTTGTCACCGAGCCCTTGTGACTTGGAGTGACAAGGTAACAGGAGTTTACTGTTTATATCATCTTAATATGCTCCCAAGATTTTGCAGGAATAAGATCAACAAAGACTGCAATAATCCAGAGGAACGTGAGTGTGTGTGTGTGTATGTGTATGTGTGTGTGGGTGGGGAAGGTGTATCCAGTTTGACACGTGAATCTGCAGCGCTCTGCAGGGCTGTACAGATAAGGATAGCAACAGAAGTGACAGGAATCAAATCAGATGAGAACCCAGGCGAGATGATGAAGTGAGAAGGAACCTCGTGGAAACGTTATGAACCGGGTGAGAGGCGAGTAAGAGTGACAGGTGAATGAGATAATCTCATCTCAGACCTGCATCCAACCTGAAAACCATTCCCACCTCATCCATTCCTGTCAATGTCTTTATGAGCTTGGAGAGTTCTGCTTCCTTCCTTCCTAACGCAGGCTGGGGGGATGATGTAACCTGGATGTTGTGACAACATAAAGGAGGATACATTATCACCGTGATACAACAGGCCAAGAATCAGTCTAGAGATTAACTGGGAGCAGTTTGGTGTCTGGGCAATATGTGACGTGATAAGGGAATTTAACATTAAAAGATTGCTGTGCAGTTTTCCAATTGAGAAGACAGACAATCATTTCACTCTCGCAGGCTGCTGATCTTAAAGCTACTATTTCACATTAATGTGAAAATTTCAGACACTGATTCAAATAGAAAAGAAATACGTGTTTATAAGCAGCTCGTTTCAGAACCTGAGGTGGGAGTCGGTGTGGGGTCAGGTCACTAGGTTTACAATCAGATGCAGCTGTAGGTTACTACACCGAGACCCTGTGTCCCAATCCAGTCCTGACTGTCAACAACAACAACAATAAAAACAAGATTACATTTGTATAGTGCTTTTCACATCGGGAGGACGTCCCAAGACGCTGGACAGTGTACAGCATCTCAGTGGTCAGAACAGAAGTCTTGGCTGGTTCTATCCTCTCTGCCACAGGGAGTTCAGCAACGCAACCACTGCCTCAGTGGATATCAACCCAGATTTGGCATCAAGCCTTTGATATTGTCACCTATCCCCAACCTCCCAGTCCTTCACCCCTACTGATCCCAAACCCCAGCTTGGATCCAAATCCCTGACTCTCCAGCACATTGGGACGTCCTCCCGATGTGAACAGCGCTGAGTAAATGTAATTTGTTGTTGTTATTGATGAGCCACCCCCCCCCCCCCACACCTCCCCCACCACGTCCCCACCCTCTCATTCTAAGGGTAGAATTCCACCTCTAGTCTGTGTCTCAGCATCTCTGTGGAGATTGTGAACTGCTTGAACGCACAAGAGGAAAGCGAAGAGTGTAACACATGCCTGGGATTCCATGTGCAAGTAATGAAATACAACCATAGCCTTGCAGACAGCATAACTATTTTATCTGAGAGTTTGGTTATAATGGGAGCATGGTTAATAAAGTCTCTGATTCATGTCTTATTGCACCCAGTGATGCTAATCTCTCAGAGCAGACGTGGATTGTTGGTGGTTGGAGATTTACCTGGAAGTAAGTATTTAAAGGCATTCTTTGTGTCTGTGTGTGTGTGTGTGTGTACTGTATAAACACAATGTGTATTGTACAAACTATATTTATCTCCAGGCTAATGCTCTTTGCAAAGGAAGCAGATCGTAGCATCTTCCTAATGACTGTGTGTCCGACAGACCTCATACTTTCTGGCTGATTGTGAGTGAGGTCTCTGTGAATCGGGCTCCCTGCAGTTGGCTTATCAGTGGCTGGTGTGTTTGGGAGTTGTGAGGAAACAAAAGGCTGCTTTCTTCTCAGTGGAACGAATAACATTCATTTAAAGGTTGTGTGTTCCATTGCCAATCAGAGCAAAAAATGCAGGCACTCCACAGGAGGGCGACTAATGAAAACTTAACTGAAATTCAATGATAGCTTTAAGAGCTCCTTATGTTAATAATAATAATAATCCTTGCATTTGATATCGCGCCTTATCACGTGGTTGAGAAGTCTCAAAGCGCTTCACAGTATATAGTGTAAAGTGGAGCAATTGTATTTGGTGGATTGAATGATTAAAAAAATGTTTTTTGAAGGGATTATTATCCCCAGAAAGCGATCCGCCAATCGACTAACAACCAGGTACTTAGTGCTAGGGTGGGGTGAAACTTTAGGCAACTTTCCTTACTTCACACTCGGTTTATAACCGCGATAGATTGATCTGTAAAATACAAATTGAACTCACACGTACAGTACATAGGAAAGCTTCACATTGACAGCGTTTAACATTGAGCAAGGCGGGAAGGTGGGAGGGAGTAAGGCATTGTCTAAGAGATCGGTTTTAGCAGGGTTCTTGTAGTACGCTGCCAAATTGGACTGTGAAATACACAGTCACTACACGTCACAGTAAATCCCATGAAGTACTTTGAAAAGTCCTTTGTCACTTGGAAATTATTAGACTCTTATAAACCGTGGAATAAACATGTGGTCCACTGTTTGCAAACTGAGTGCAAACACCCTAACCGCTCCCCCCACTCCCCCTCCCACTTCCCTTGTAGAATCCTGATGCAACCCTTCCCGGTTCCCACAGTCGCTATCACGCCTGCATCACTGCATATCTGCTCGACGACTGTGATCTCATGAATGAATGCAGATGTAACAAGTTGCATTTCATAACTGCAGCAGAGCCCTGTCTGAGATGAGATCGACCAGCAGCGGGTGGATGTGCGTACATCCTTCAGCAGAATCAAACACCGGGCAAGGAGAACTGGGTGCCCGTCACACAGCCCGCTGTGCAATAGCCAAATAGCAGAGACCAAGGGTCCTGGTGATAACCAGTTATCTCTGCAGAGCCTGTGTTTATGCTGGTGGCCGGTGGGATGTGTCTGGTTCTCTCTGACTAATCAGGTGCTGTTACAACACTGGGGTAACCAGCGTGGGAAACACTGTGGGAGTCAGGACTTACCGAGGGCTTGTGTCTGTCACGGGGCAATGAGTGGGGGGGCAGCAAGCGATGAGCACCCGAGTGTCCCAGCCCACTCTGTTGCTGCTTATCAATAATAATAATAATAATAATAATAACAATCCTTGCATTTGATACAGCGCCTTATCACCAGATCGAGATGTCTCAAAGCGCTTCACAGGAAATACTGTAAAGTGGAGTGACTGTGCGTTTTGTAGGCGAAACGCAGCAGCCAGTTTGTGCACAGTGATGTCCCGGAAACAGTCTTGAGGTGAGGACCTCCACATGAACCATACGACAAACAGCGTTTGTCTCAGCAGCCTTTGTTTAGCGATCCTTTATGAGCTATAGTTTAAGCGCATCGAGACCCTGCCCAGCATGGAGGGCGCTATATAAATGCAAGTTGTTGTTGTTGTAATCTGAAATATAGGATCTCCTCCAGGCGACTGTTTGTTCCCCCTGCCCCTTTCCCTTCTCCCTGCCGTGCCCCCCCTTCCTCCGCCTCCGCCACACCCCCCCAAATCAGGGCTTTCAGTAAATAGTTTGCAGAAGTCTCCAGAGAGATTGTTGCAGTGTTTTTGTTAATACTTCGTTCTGCAAACCCCTCCCTTCTTACTTGTCTGATTGGAATGGTGACACGGGCTGTGTGTGGGGTGGGATCTTATGGGTGTTGTTGGCATTTCACATTGATTTTGACAGCCACGCTGTCCAGGTGTGGTCTCACAGGGCCCTATACAGTTTCAGCAAGACTTCCCTACTCTTATACTCTAATCCTTTCATAATGAATGCTAACATATCGTTCACCTTCCTAAGTCAAGTCTTTGAGACGTCTCAAAGGGCTTCACAGGATATATTGTAAAGTGAATTGACTGTGTATTTTGTGAGTGAAACGCAGCGGCCAATTGCTCACAGCAGCGTCCCCACAAACAATAGTTGATTGAGTCACGCTGTGTGTTATGTACAGGTAAGGCATGATTTTAGGCTTTGTGCTGGGTTTTGACTGTTAAACTTATGCCACGAAGGAAACACTGAACGAGCGGAAAGCAATGTATGTTTGCTATCAGTTAGAGCAATATTCCAACCATATCTCAAACCCATTTCCACAACATCATCTTCAACAACAACAATTTTAATTTAAATAGCACCCTCCACATGGGGTTAGAGTCTCAGAGCGATTTTACAATCCACCCTGTCACCCAAGAGAGAGAGAGTCCTGTTTTATGTGGGATTACATAGTGAGTGGAGGCTCCATGGGAATTTCTGATTCAATTTCAGGTCGACACAATCACTTTGAGTTCCTGCTCACACCTGTTCCAGTTCCACCCTTGTCCTTTGTTGTGATGAAGGTGTGGCTGCTTTTCTGCCTCTAGTTGTTTTCAGTTCTTTTAGCCTTTTCCCTAACTGCTTGGTGCCATCACTCACCCAGCCTCTGTAGGCTGAAGTCCTTCATTGCTGCTGCTTTCGTTAATGTCATCACGTTTCTCCTTTACTCCTTGTCCGTAGCTTCGTTCTTCCTCCAACACCCGATCTAATTTGGTCCCTGTCATTCGGTCACTCAATAAAGTTGTTCTTGGTTTTCTTAGATTTTCCCCTTTACTTGGCGATGTCGCTAAACCAGCCTCTCTCAGCATTGCTGTCTCACTGTCACCGGTAACTGTATGACTTGGTTCCTTCTTTTCTCCTTGTTTGTAGGTTGGCCCTCCCTCGTTTGGTCTCATCTGCCTACCTTCATCATTACTCACCAACACTGGCAAGACCTGTTCTGTGAACAAAACAAGAACCAGTCTAGGTATATAGTGACAGGTAATCTGTTACACTTCAAGAGACCAAACCCTTGTTACAATAATAATAATAATAATCCTTGGATTTGATTTAGCACCTTCTCAAAGCGCTTCACAGAATATACTGTAAAGTGAATTGACTGTATATTTCTCGGAAGGGATTATTACCCCCGGAAAAGTGATCCGCCAATCAACTAACAACCGGGTTCCTTCTTACTGCTAGGTAAACAGAGGCGTGTGGAGTAAAGAAACGTTTCCCCCTGCCTGGGAATCGAACCCAGGTCCTCTCACTTGCGAGGCGAGTGCTCTAACCACTGCACTACAGGCCTCCAGTAGATTAACAACAAGATTAATCCTTTCATTTCATATAATGCTTATCACGTCATCGAACCATCTCAAGGCACTTCACCAGGATTTACTGCAGTGCAGTGTAGTGACTGGACTGTGAGGTGAAGGTGCCAAGCTATTTGCAAGCAGCAACAACCCACAAAGAGCCATGAACTGAATGACTACTTGTATGCGGGAGATTGTTTCTGCTTGTTTTCCTGTCACTAATTAACTGTAAACGATGTGGAGCTGAGAACCACTTCAATCAGACACACCGAAACTCACAGCAAGTTGTTGATTGAGCCTCCACTAGATTATCCTCATTGTAAAAAGTGAGGGAGAGATTATTTTACCTCTGACACTGTGCTTTGTATGGTTGTGTGTCAAAACATCACTGGTTATGGATTTCCGGACTGGCTTCCCGTGGATTTCTACTCCCTCTAAAACTGTCACACTGCTCACACGAATGAGAAGGAGGAAGATTCCAACTCCCAGAATGACCTGTAAGTGCAGAAACCTGTGCATTAACATCTAGTGTAGTTTGGAGACAAATAATAATTCTGAAGTTTAATGCAGCACATATAACATCAACATCTCAAATTGCTTTCATAATTAACGTAACATTTTTTGTAGACAATTGTGGCAGCATTTTGGCAGTGGCAATGTCCCACAAACTGCCAGGAAGTCAATGACCTATTTTGTTTAGTTGGAGGATTGTTTACCAGGACACCGGGAGAAACTCTCTTCTCATTTCGATTAATATCATTGGGATCTTTAATGTCCGCATAAATTTAACATCCAGCTAATATTTGTTAGGTCAGGGAATCAAGGGATATGGAATGAGGGCGGATAATTGGAGTTGAGGTACAGATCAACCTTGATCTTATAGAATGGCGGAACAGGCTCGAGGGGCTGAATGGCCTCTTCCTGTTTCTATGTTATTTTTCTATGTAAAAAGAATTTCAGTCCGTCTCAACATGGATTCTCATCTTGTTTTAACCATAGGCCCCCTTTCCACCAGGACTAGACTGCAGTGCCAGATGTCAATGCATATCAGATTAATGGGCTTGAACCTACAACCTTCTCTGACAAAGCCAGGACAATATCTTCACATTAGCAATGCAACCAAACAAGTTTAAAAAAATTCCCTGGAGAAATAAACAGCTGGAATGCACCCCAGCCGGGTTTAGAAGTTTAAATCATGATTCCACTTTCAACTTGCTGAATTTGAAACAGTAAAGTTAAATTAAGCTGTGAACGTAATTAATGATATTGAGCCTGTACGTACCCTTCCAGCTGATGTATATCTGTGTAGCTTTGCGTGGATTATTGGTGGGCAAATTAAACTGATGATGCTTCCAGCGGTGGTTCCGATTACTCCGAACACAGTCTCCACTGAAAGACCAGAAACAGAGGCTAGCACCACAGTATAGTCCCGCCCTTTGCCCCTCATAGAAACCTTGTCTAACTCCAACACTGGAGCACATCCAGATATAGACAACATGAAGAACAGCATTGCAGTCTGTCTCAATTTGGATTCTCATTTAGACTTCTCCTTCCGCCCTTCTCTTCCATGCCCCAATCTCCCCACCCACCACCACATCTCCCCACCCCCGACTCTATCTCCATGTCCCTGCACTGAGGGGGTTGCTTTGCCCTTCTTGTGTTGGGACAGGAAGACGAGCTGAGAGAGTCTCCTCCTGGCACACAGAACAGCCAGTGGACCCACCAAGGATTGTTATTGAAGGAAATGTTTGCTAATTGCGTTGCAACTAAAGACCCAAAAGGATAACTTCAGAAGTAAAGGAGAATTTTTTTTATGTCTTTAACATTATGGATCAAAGCTCACAAATAATACTAATAATAATCCTTGCATTTGATATAGCCATTCTCACATCTTCAAGACAACAAATTATATTTGTATAGACCTTTCACGTGTGGAGGATATCTCAAAGTGCTTAACAGAATCTACACAGAACATACTGTAAAGTGAATTGATTGTATATTTTTGAGGGTGAAACATCCGTAATCATACCATCCTGCACCAGAGCACCTACGGTCATGGTGGAGAAAACCACCAACACTGTGACAATCACGTGCCGCTGTCTTGGCATATCACCACTCACTGAGAAAGTCCCATCTTCTCTCTGCAAAACAATTTAACAAGTTGAACCCGTAAACTTAATATTGGCATTTCTGATCTAGAGTTTATCAATTTCTCATATCCATTCAGTAATCCCCATTGAAATTGCTGTTTATTCTTGCCCTTAGGCAGCCAGTTGTGCACAGCAGTGTCCCACAAACAGTTGTGGGTCGAGTGACCACATTTTTTGAATTATAATTAATGGACTCGAATGAACTGGGTTTCCTTATTCTTCTGACCAGGGAACAAACCTGCTGTTCGAAAAGCAGTGTGTTGATGGCTTGTCGGCACGGTAACACAACCAGCGGGAAGCTCATGACCATAGAGAAGAGAAACATCAGGCGGACGTAATCTATGGCCGTGGTCGACGGTAAAGTCGCCAGGATGTTTCCAGGTACAGTTTGCGGAAGAGGAATGTAGCCACAGAGTCCCACCTGAAACACAATAACAATAAGGGCCAAGTGGCCTTGGGCAAAGCTTTTCCGTGCGAGGTTTATTAGATACCATCGGTGTATCTCATGTAAGTTACATCACAATATACAGCGTGTCTTGCTGCTGTCTTGATATCATGTGTCTCTAAATGACTTGTCCTTGGAGGCACTGTACTGGAACTAAATTAGGCGACGAGGGATAACTCGTAAACATCACGGGCTTGGGTTTCAAAAAGTATTTGATAAGGTTTATCTCTGAGGCCCTCAGAGCAAATACTTTACGTGTGGAATTAATGACAACTAGATTTGGTAACAGAATCTGCTACACAAATAGTATTCTGATCCATGTGCCTGTGGTGGCTAGTTTCCCATTGGAGCTATCTAGGTATCCCAATATCCATTGGAGCTATCTACATGTTAAGTTTTTCATTGGAGCTCCATCAATGTGCTTAGCCATCCACTGAAGTAACTACTATGATCCGATTTCCCTTGCAACCTTTTGTACCTTTATTCTTAAATAGTTATCTAACGACCTTTTTTGAGGACCGTAATGCCTTGGCTTCAAGAGCCTCTCGTGGGAATTGGTTCTGTTTCCTGATACATCTTTGTGTGTAGAACAGTCTTATAACCTCCCACACCACCCACCCCCCACCATCCCCCCATTCCCCACCCACACTCTCCCACCCCTCTCAAGCACCAAAACAAAACAATGAGCTGGTCCATAGAACTGAGACTCAGTTAATGCAACTAAGAATAATAGTAATAATAATAATCCTTGCATTTGATATAGCACTTTTCACGTCTTCTCGATGTCTCAACGCACTTCACAGAATATGCTGTAAAGTGAATTGACCGTATATTTGTGGGCGAAACGCGGCAGCCAATTGCGCACAGCAATGTCCCACAAACAGTCAGTCGTGGATTGAAAATGACCAATTTATTATTGTTTTGTTTTGGAGGGATTATTATTAGGCTCTGTGTGGAGTAAAGAAACTTGCCCAAGGTTTCACCCTCTGCCTGGAACTGAACCCAGGTCTCTCACTTGCAAGGCGAGTGCTCTAACCACTGAGCTACAGGTCTCCAAATTGACCAAACTAGTCTATAATCTGGCACATAAAACAAATATATACTCCCTGAGAGTTAAGCAGTGAGTTAGTTTGAAGGTGACACTTTGGACATGGTGAATCACTTACTATTGTATAGAAAGTGCAGCTGATGGTGATTGCTTGCTTGAAGGCCAATTCCATTCGTTCCACTGACCGCTCTTTCAGACTGAAGTACGTTGGAAGCACTTGTCTTCGAAATGAAACAGTTGGTTTTGTTTTTTTAAGGATTGTAAAGCGAATCCCAGCTTCCGAATCAGGAAGGTCTGAGACAAGAGTTTTAAAAGAACTGGAATCTTTAGGTGTGTTTGTATGAATGGGAGCATTGTAAGGCCATCCATTAGGTTTTACATGATGTCACAGGCCTGTTGAAGGGTTTCTTGCCCTTCAGTGTAATTCAATGGAGGACAATTCCTCCCATTGCTGAGTAATTGGCCACCCAGAATTACGTGGATGCGTACAAAGCTAATGTAGACATTACAAAGGGCAAAGTAGCCTTCCACTTGGCTTCAATTTACTGCAAAGAATCTCAGTGGATTCGAAGTGCTCTTTTCAAATGTTTTTCTCACATTACGGGATATACTTGGGTCGTCCGAGAGGGAGGGTTAATGCACCCTGCTCACTAATGTTGCTGAACTCTTCCTTCTGAGTTTATTAGGGAAATTCCACTGTAAGGTTTGCTCTGCTTAGTGAACAGCCAGTAAAAGACCCCTTCCACAACTTCCTGTCACCTTTGTGCAAGCCTGCAAACAGGGGACGTTAAAGTACTAACAGAATTGTAAACTAATAGTAAATTGGTTGTCTATAAATGCACAGCCCCTACACGTGAAGAACAAATACCTGTGTAGCAATTTGAATTGTTTGAACCTTATAATTCAAGGCACATCTTGAAACATATCTCTTTGACTGTGTCCATTAAAGGGGAGCATTGTTTAATAATAATAATAATAATGTGGGTGAAATGCGGGGGCCAATTGCGCACAGCAGTTACAATGCTACTTACGGCTGACAGATGAACATGCTCCCAAATATCGGCAGGCAGGTGGTGATCCCAGACCAGTGCCACAAGCGGATCTGCGGTGTTGCCAGTCGCCCGGAGGACACGGTGTCCAGGCAGCGAGCCAGCAGCTGGCGATCAAGACAGAAGCCGCCCGTCAATCCCAGCCCATGCTTGTTATCGGACCCAAGCGGTTTACGTTTGGCCATTGCGCTCAATCTGGTTCGGGAGCCGGGAATGTCTTAGGTTTCACCCAGTATTTAGGATTGGCTCAATTGTGCTGTGAGGACAGTGAATAGCGGCTCAATTCCTGTTACCCCACTCTCTACAACTCCATCCCGGAGTCCCTCTGATTTCCCTCCTCCCTCCCTCCCTTCCTCCCCTCATTCAAGGCATGTCTCAAAATGTATCTCTTTCACTGCGCTTTTGCATTTGATATAGCGCTTTTCACGTCTTCTGGACGTCTCAAGGTGCTTCACAGGATATACTGTAAAGTGTTGGAGACACGCGGCAGCCAATTGCACACAGCAACAATTTTTATTGTTTTTTTTCTTGAGGAATTATTATTAGGCGTGTGGAGTAAAGAAACTTGCCCGAGGTTTCACCCTGCCGGGAACCAAACCCAGGTCTCTCGCTTGCAAGGCAAGTGCTCTAACCACTGAGCTACAGGACTCCTACCTTTCCCTCCCAACACCCACCCCACCTTGGCTCCCACCCCCACTCAATGGTGCACATGGTTGAGCATTTTGAGACGTCCTCCTGATATGAAAGGTGCGATATAAATGGAGGTATTGTAAGGACAATTCTAACTACCCCGCGTGAAGGGCACAATATAAGTGCAGGTTGTTGTTGTTTTGTTGTTGTCGGCCCTCACCATGAACACGAAGGGGGTGTAAAAGATGAGTGAGATCAATAACCACAGCATGGAGTTGGACATGTTTCTCTGCAGACTCAGGGGAAGAACTCCCAACGTTGTGATCATCACGAGAAGCAATGCTCGCTGCCAGGGAGTGGCCTGCCCCAAACACACAAAGGAAAACGCAACAGCTTAGCCACAGAGGATCATAGGAAACCCTGGACAAAAGAAGACCAAGGTCCATCCAGTTAGGGTTCCACCATCCTGGCAGTTGCTTGCGCCATCCTGGCAAGTCCTGAACTACTCATGTACTGTGCTGCTAAATATTATTTCCTTAAAGAAATCTAACGGATTCGCATTCGAAAGAATCAACACGTTCGGCTTCTACCGTCTCCCGAGGGAGCGAGTTTCATAGATTGCTTTAAGCGCTGCTGGACGCTACCCCATGTGAAGGGTGCTATATAACTGCAAGTTGTTGTTGTTATTTGTTGTCAAACCAATGCTGGCTGGGCTCTTCTCTACTCACCAGTGTCCACCTCTTTCCCCCCCCCCCATGTACCCCTTAACCAAAACTGCCTGACCCCAGATTGACCGGAGACTCCCCACAACACAGCTCCGGTGCCTGAACCTAAACCAATTTAATTCTGATATTTTTTAACTAAATGTTTCGTAAGAGAGGCAGATATTACATGAATGTTCCATTTTATATTTTGTACTGTTCATATAGCTTTTTACCAACTATTGTCAGAGATGGTTGAATTTCATCTTGCTCAGTAATTCCAATTCATTTGCTGTCGCGTAACCTTGAGTAACCTGAGAGTTGGACCCTCCTATAACAGAGCGCTCTGGGACGCCACCCTGTGTGAGGGGCACTATATAACTGTACGTTGGTCAAGAACATTGAAGGGAACCTACCGAGGATCCACTCACTACCTGCACCAGGTTGGCTCCGAGTTCATTTATTACTGCAAAGAATGCCATGGAGGTCCCCAGCATTAACCCGATCACACTGTAACCAGAAATCTTGCGTTAACAGCACAGTTAACCCCCGCAATGCTGAAGATTTATTAATTTAATAACAAGACATGGGGTTAGCAGGTCACAGAGTTAGGAAGGAACCAGGCCCTCCTCCAATGTTAAGGAATTGGGGAGACAGAGAGGAGAGAATTGGCTGAATAGAAGGTTTCTTACCCTTTAGATCCATTTCACTGTGGAACCTATTGACAGGAGCTTACCTTAATTCAACTGCTAATTTCCCTGTTTTTCCATATGCCATTTGAGCTGTAATAGGAAACAGAAACAGTCTGTGTTTTCTGAAAATATCCACAACCTGCAGCCATTAACGTCTCACATTCAGGAGGCGTTCAGGAGATAAATGGGCTGTTTGGTTTTGTGCTGATCCTTGTAGACTGTGAGGTCCAAGGTTTGGTCCTTGTTCTCTGCTGAGTTGCCTGAACTCAAGGATTATTATTATCTCAGTGAGGATGCAGGATGGAGGAGGAGAGTGGGAAAGGACTGACTCATATTAAAATTTACATTAAGAAGTAAATGTATGGTGATTGCCTTCACACAATGGCTTTAACCACAAGCACATTGATGCCAGTTGGTGTTTTGTTCTGTGTTCATTTACGTGTCAGGTCTGTAACTATCCTCGTATACAAATTGGTTCCCTGAGCTGAGTGTATGAATAAGAGACTAATCAAAACATCTAGTAAGCTCGTTCTTCCTCAGATCTCACCTCAGAGTAGTTGGCGTTGCCCACTGTGGGCAGCTTTAGCTGGTAAACCAATGGTCACAGGCTAGGGCTGAAACGATCTTAAGCTACAGTATTCTCAAATTTCGAATGGGGGGGGACTTCCCATTTGTACGTGTGACAAGGGAGAGCTGGACAGGGTGAGGGTGTAGCCTCTGTGTCCTACCATTTCCTCTCCAGCGTTGCAGGTCCCAAACGTCAGTTCCAATGTTTACAGGTCTGTCAGAGAAGCTGATTTAAAGCTGATTTGCGTTGCATTTGGTCAAGATCTCTGCTTTGTCAATGCCAATGGCAAAAGCACCGGTTTACAGTACAAATCACTGCCGATGACATTCGTTCCTCTGACTAGTTTCCACAGCAGAGAACGACCTGACTATTGACCTCCACTCACTGCCCTGTGCGAGGCGATGAGTTTGAAGAAGGGGGTGGGGTGGGGGGTGGGGGAAGGACTTACCCAGACCGACATAGGTTTTGCAGTTGGTGACCATGGTCAGTTGGATCAGCATCAGGCTGGATTTGTAGGTGAACCACGAGCAGCAGACCAGCAAGAGGGAACCCAGGACGATGCCACACTGAACAAAAGCCAGACACCTGGAGTTAAAGTGGTTTCCGATGCAACCGTGAAATTCTAACATGTCCGCGCAGAGCGGAGGACAATACAAAAGCAGTGACTTCAGTGTACGTATGCTTGTGATCACGAAAAGCACAATAACAACAACTTGCATTTATTGTGGAAAAGGATGGACACGCTGAATACCAATAGGGTCTGCACGTGAGCGAAATATTGGAACCCATTTGTGACCTGACACTTGTGGAGTTAGTACAGTATCTGTGCTGCACAGCTGAGGAGGGCAGATTAGCCCATTGGTTTACCGACCCCTGCCCGAATGGGCACTTTGTTCGCAACATAGGAACTGGCGTAGACATCTTGGCCCATTCAACCTATACATTGTGGGCAAAAAGCGACAGCCAATTGCGCACAGCAGTGTCCCACAAACTGACGTGGATTGAGAGTTTTTTTTTAAGGGGAAGTTCACAGGCCCTCTTTCCATCCAGTCAGTGCATGGAAAAAGGATCTGTGAACTTTCAGGAGAGAATGTGTGGGGAGGGGGGGGGGGAAAGGAGAGGGAGAGAGAGAATTGATGAGGATAATAAACATTCCGATCTCCTCTCTATCTTCTATAGGATTACTTTTCTTTAAAGCAAATTCCAAACATCTGGTTACGTGCCTCTGGCACAGGCTGCATCCAGATGTCCCGGAAAGACAACCCCAGAGGCAGATGTGATCAAAGATCCAATGCTAGCATCACCATCACCAATCCAATCATCCCCTAGTTTACCAAACTGAATAAACTGTGTGTGGAGACAATGTGGCCAGGCAATGAGGCTCTAGCAAACGAACGAGCATTAGAGAGGAATGTTGTTGTGGCAGAGAGAGGCTCTGTACTGTGGGTCGGACCAGATTCCTCTATAAAAATTATCAACAGTAATGACAGTCACTATGATAGGCATTCAGTTAACCCTTTGTGGTTGTGCTCCAATGATAGCTCAATTGGTTGCCTTTCTCTGTCCAACGAAGAATAAAGCCAATCAGATGGGACAGATCGCAGATCTGGTATCGCCCACACACACACACAGACACAAACGCCCCAAACGCTAGGCTGCTCTGCAAACTGGCCTAAGACATATTGTTTCAGGAATGGGGAATAATCCAGCTAGACTTTTGGAGTTCAAATAATAATAATAATCCTTGCATTTGATATAGCACCTTATCACGTCTTTGAGACATTATGATAATTATTACTATACGACTATTATAATTTGAATTTGTTTTATTACCTGTTGAAAGCAGAAAGGCAAAGCCAGCACCGGTGCCCCGACGATACTGCTAACGATGGTGACAGTCAGACCCAGGTCTCTGGTGCACATCCTTGGCAAGGCTCCAGCCAACTGCTAACTGGACTCCAAACAACAACTTGTTGTTATAGAGCGGCCTTCAGGCTGGATGGCGTCTCGGAGCGCTTACCCCTGACAATAAACTTAAACTTCAAACCCACTCATAAAAGCCCATTCCACCGCTCTGAGCCAGCGAGTTGCTTTAAATGAAATGTATTTCCTAATTGTTGGTTCAGTGACACAATCCACCCCGGTTCAAGACAAACCGGTTTATGAGACTACAACCTGCTCTGAGTGAGGAACATACATACATCCATACATACACACACGCACGCACGCACGCACGCACGCACGCACGCACATACATACATACATACATACATACATACATACGCAGTGACAAGTTTGGTTTGGTTCCTGGCAAACGAGAATTTAATATCTCCTCAAATGTGGAGTGCTGTAGCACATTGGTTAGAGCACTCGCCTCACAAGGGAGAGGAGAGGACCTGGGTTTGATTCGGGGCAGGGAAATTTCCTTATTCGACACACACGTCTCTGTTTACTTAGCAGGTAGTAGGAACCTGGTTGGTCATCAATTGACAGATCGCTTTTCCGGGGGTAATAATCCCTTCAAAATAGCTATGTATATATTTTTAAATTTGATAACTCAATCCATGATTGTTTGTGGGGATGCTGCTGTGCGGAATTGGCTGCTGTGTGTCGTCCCCAAAATCTACAGTCAATTCACTTTGCAGCATGTTCTGTGAAGCGCTTTGAGACGTCTTGAAGATGTGATAAGGCACCTTATCAAATGCAAGGATTATTATGATTATAATATTATATACATAGCGTGACTAGCCACCTCTGTGCCAGGGCTACCTATTGAGTAGGCAATGAACAGGCAGGGACAGTGGCTGAAAATAAAACCACACGGCTTTCAAAGGGTGACGAGATAAAGGAGACCTAACTAGGAGTCAGCTACAAGGGCATGTCTGGGGAAAGGGGAGGTTAATGGGGCAGGAAAGATTGCTCTTAAAAGAGCAGGCGCGGACACGATGGGCCGAATGGCCTTCTTCTGTGCTGTAAATTCCTATTCCTGACGTGAGGGCTGAACCCACAACCTTCTCACTCGGAGGCGAGAGGAGATGTGATGTGAGGAGCAGGCAGGACTAACCTCCTTACCAAACGCTAACCTGGTTTAACCAGTCCTGACCTACCTTGACAAGCAGTAACCTCCCTCAGTAATCACTAACCTCACTTAACGTTAACCTGCTTGACCAAACGCTAACCTCTCCTAACAAGCACTAACATCCTGGTAAGCTGTCTAAGCAGCGGGCTTTTGAGTAACAAAGATACATAGGGGATGAAAAGGGACCAAGCTTTCGCTTGGCATCTTTAGCAGGAATTCTATAGTCCTGGTAATGAGTTGAGGGTCAGCGTTGGGTTAACAAGCAGCAAACAATCGAAAAGTTCACAGGAGGGTCAGTGTAGAGAGGCTGAGCAGTGAGGACCCAGTACTTTCTACCGGAGCAAATCATCACAGCGCAATCTGACATTTAGTCGTAAGAGGTCTGGAACCTCAGTCGTCTCTGACGTTATCTGATGGTGGAAGGAAAGTAAAATGTTGATGCTTTTTATATAAAAAAAAGCCACACCAAAACATTTTTTTTTGAGGACTGGAGTGAACTGCAATAATTGCTTTGTCCTTTGTAAGGCTCTCTCTAATCGAGCCAGCATTTATTTAAAAGGCAGTCAGAAGAATTTTCCACAATTCTGCGCAATTTTTATATGTGAAGAGAGATGGTCTTCCAGGCTAAGAATAGATGGAATTTCAGACCTAATATGTACACCTGATGAGAGACTGTATCCCAAATAGGAACTGAACCCCCAACTACAAACTGTACCGAAAGAGAAACTGGATCAGAGGAGAAAGAGGGAGAAACTATGTGTGTGTGTGGATAACAGATAACATACACACTGTGAATTGAAAACTCTGCTTATAATGCAAAGTAAGTCATTGCTCCCAGACAAAAAAGCTTTAATCACCAAATCGCACAGTTATGCAGGAAACTTTAATGTCCCCACACGCAGGGACCTCCTTCCCCTGACAGCCCAGTCTCTGGGGGATATTTATCATCGCACTCTCCTAATCCATTAAGAACAGTCTGAGTGCAAGACATTGACAAGCCTGGTGATGAATGAGACTACCTTCCTTTAACGCTAGTCTTCGGGGAACTGACGTCTCCCAGGACCACATTCCATTCATCTACGGGTACGGCAGGCCGAGGGCAGGATGGAGATCCGCAGAGGGACTTGGAGGAACGGTTTCATTCCGCGCAATAAATTATGGCCTTAGATTTGCCAGCATTCAAACTCCAGTACATGTTACCCTTCAGAAATAATAATAATAATCCTTACATGTTACATAGCGCCTGATCATATTGTCAAAACATCTCAAAGCGCTTCACCGAGCATACTGCAAAGTGAATTGACTGTATATTTGTGGTTGAAACATGGCACAAGCGGTGTGCAATCTGCACTGTCGTGAATGAGCCTCAAGCCACCCATTTTGTCTCTTTGAGGAAAGCGTTTCTGAGCAAACTTTCTGCCTTGCCTTCCAAGACCAAATCACGTACAGCTGTGGACTCACTATCTAACCTTTTGTGCTGCATTATTCATCCTTGACTGCCTGGCTTCCTTGCCGTGACATTTCCAAGGTCCCAGCAGTTCAATAACCATCATGTTCCACACAGCAGTCGCTCATTGCCATTTGTATTTATCCTTGTGACCCTTGATCCCGTTGCTAACCAGATAGTCACCCAGCTCATGTTTTTATAGATGTTAATCAACTCCCACATCAGCAGCTTGAAGCAGTGCCCCTCTCTCATGTCTGTACCAATGTATAGGGTGATGGAGTGGGGAAAAGGGGTGCGGAGTGGAGGGGAAGAGGGGAAGCAGCAGAGGAAAGGGGAGGGTGGGGGGGAATTCCTTTCCAATCTCAATCGCCCTTGAGACTTGTCGATTCTGAAGTCACGTCTTCCAGGCCGCACTTGGAGTCTGAGATAAATAAGTTGCCGGAGACGAAAGTCCTTGTTCTCAGACAATCTCGTAAGTGAAAAGTTGGCGGAGAGCCAGGATTCTTTGTCAGCTCAGATTACCGGCCCGAATGGAGAAATTTACTATTTTACCAGGAACTCCTGATTGAAATACAACCTGATCGAATCAAGCGTGGTTCATGTGGCGTTGATCTTCTGGTTCAGTTCCACAATCTAATGTCCTCTTTATACAGCGCAGCAGTTTTTTTTCGCTTTCAATCCACGCTAAAGTGCAGCATAAATCAGGCTTGAAACCCAGCGAGTTTAAGTCCGAGCCCCACTTCTTGTAGTCACCTATGGTTGGGGGTAGTGGGGCGCGGCGCTGGGAGCTGGGGGTTGGTGGGGGGCGCTGGGAGATGAGGGCTTGGTGGGGGGGGGGAGATGTTGTGGTAATTGAATCGTACATTTGCTGCACTATATTCTACTTGGCCCATGCCAAGCTCATTCTGAAACAATTTGTAAGTTTAACATTGGAGACTTCTCAGTCTATCCGATAAGCTCCTTT